TTCACACAGTTCGACTGTGGATCTAGAGGCTTTGAATTCCCAAATTCTAACATTTCAATGGCATTTAAAATTAGTAACAAGTTGATACTTTATAAGCAGTGTCATTTGCTTTAACATTTGAATTCAGCTCAACATTACTATACCTCATACGACTGATATTGAAGCTTAAAATCCGCTTAAAGCTTTAAAATGTAGTTGACAATTTGTGCCTAAAACAAATGAATGAACTGCACTTCCAAACCTCATATTTCCATTTCATAGTAATGGCTCCCTCTTATAATCTGTCTACCTTTAGACATGTTATTCTAATGGGATTATGTTTTATTCTACGATGTTGTTACCCTCTAACACTTCTATTCCTGTTTCGGTATGTTTTACTTCCTGCCATTTCTCCATTTAAATGTAACTACCTCGTTCGTTCTGTAGGTGCTGAATTGAATTAAATTTTGAAAAAGAAAAAAAAAAAACATAAACTGTCTCATCACTTGTACATAAATAATTTTCAATATTCTACATGCAGACATGACTGGGAGGGTTCCAATGCAGGCAAACAAGTGCCATGTGATGATACGAGTCAATAAACCCTACAATTTTATAATGTTTGTATGTGTCGAACTACGAAGAGGTTCTTTGGCGAAAAAAACGGTTTGTCAGCAAGTGTTTGTGTTATTTTTTAACATCCATGCGTCACTATGTCTGGCACGTCTCAAACTTAATGTTCGAGTATTATTTTTATAAACCGTTTTGTTACAGATTACAAATAAACATATTCGTTTGTATATTTGTGCATTTTTATGGTTTCCTAAATGCCAAAACGAAATATTAACTCTCACAGCTTGAGCCTTTAAAAGCGTATTAAATTTTTTAGGAATTAAAGTAAGAAAAAGAAAAAGAACTTTGTTTTTATTTACCTGTGAATTAGTGCGCATTTGATTTATGGCTGCAAATGATGCCACACAATGTCCAGGATTTTGATGGTGGGCTTGTGGTAGTATTTCTTCATTTGGTCCCGGTGGGCTAAGATCACTGGGTGTTTGTGTGGAATTATTGCTGGTGGTAGTGACATCTTCATTGTTGGCAGTGTTGTCGGTGGAACTGTAAGAAAATAACGTAAAATATTAGTTTAAATTTAAAAATTAACTTTATCAAGCTTTGTGGTATATTCTAAGACTACTTTGTAGTCTGTTCTAAAGACTATTTTGTAGTCTATGCTACAGACTACTTTGTAGTCTATGCTTTAGACTACTTTGTAGTCAATACTAAAGACTACTTTGTAGTCTATGCTAAAGACTACTTTGTAGTCTATACTAAAGACTACTTTGTAGTCTATGCTAAAGACTACTTTGTAGTCTATGCTATAGACTACTTTGTAGACAATACTAAAGACTACTTTGTAGTCTATGCTAAAGACTACTTTGTAGTCTATACTAAAGACTACTTTGTAGTCTATACTAAAGACTACTTTGTAGTCTATACTAAAGACTACTTTGTAGTCTATGCTAAAGACTACTTTGTAGTCTATACTAAAGACCACTTTGTAGTCTATACTATAGACCACTTTGTAGTCTACACTATAGACCACTTTGTAGTCTATACTATAGACCACTTTGTAGTCTATACTATAGACCACTTTGTAGTCTATACTATAGACCACTTTGTAGTCTATACTATAGGCCACTTTGTAGTCTATACTATAGGCCACTTTGTAGTCTATACTATAGACCACTCTGTAGTCTATACTATAGACCACTTTGTAGTCTATACTATAGACCACTTTGTAGTCTATACTATAGACCACTTTGTAGTCTATACTATAGACCACTTTGTAGTCTATACTATAGACCACTTTGTAGTCTATACTATAGAACACTTTGTAGTCTATACATTAGACCACTTTGTAGTCTATACATTAGACCACTTTGTAGTCTATACATTAGACCACTTTGTAGTCTCTACTATAGACCACTTTGTATTCTATACTACAGACCACTTTGTAGTCTATACTATAGACCACTTTGTAGTCTATACTATAGACCACTTTGTAGTCTATACTATAGACCACTTTGTAGCCTATACTATAGACCACTTTGTAGTCTATACTATAGACCACTTTGTAGTCTATACTATAGACCACTTTGTAGTCTATACTATAGACCACTTTGTAGTCTATGCTATAGACCACTTTGTAGTCTATGCTATAGACCACTTTGTAGTCTATACTATAGACCACTTTGTAGTCTATACTATAGACCACTTTGTAGTCTATACTATAGACCACTTTGTAGTCTATACTATAGACCACTTTGTAGTCTATACATTAGACCACTTTGTAGTCTATACTATAGACCACTTTGTAGTCTATACTATAGACCACTTTGTAGTCTATACTATAGACCACTTTGTAGTCTATACTATAGACCACTTTGTAGTCTATACTATAGACCACTTTGTAGTCTATACTATAGACCACTTTGTAGTCTATACTATAGACCACTTTGTAGTCTATACTATAGGCCACTTTGTAGTCTATACTATAGACCACTTTGTAGTCTATACTATAGACCACTTTGTAGTCTATACTATAGACCACTTTGTAGTCTATACTATAGACCACTTTGTAGTCTATACTATAGACCACTTTGTAGTCTATACTATAGACCACTTTGTAGTCTATACTATAGACCACTTTGTAGTCTATACTATAGACCACTTTGTAGTCTATACTATAGACCACTTTGTAGTCTATACTATAGACCACTTTGTAGTCTATACTATAGACCACTTTGTAGTCTATACTATAGACCACTTTGTAGTCTATACATTAGACCACTTTGTAGTCTATACATTAGACCACTTTGTAGTCTATACTATAGACCATTTTGAAGTCTATACATTAGACTATAGACCACTTTGTAGTCTATACTATAGACCACTTTGTAGTCTACACATTAGACCACTTTGTAGTCTATACTATAGACCACTTTGTAGTCAATACTATAGACCACTTTGTAGTCTATACTATAGACCACTTTGTAGTCTATACTATAGACTACTTTGTAGTCTATACTATAGACCACTTTGTAGTCTATACTATAGACCACTTTGTAGTCTCTACTATAGACCACTTTGCAGTCTATAATATGGAATATTTGTGTCCTATTCTCTAGGATACTTCACCCGAATAGATTTCATTCTACTTATGTTGGTAATGACTCCGTTAAATCTTAATATTGTTTAAATTTCTTAGCACATATCTTAAAACTGTTATTATTCAGCTTAAACTTCCGTTTCCTTATTTTTATTATCACAACCGTCCCTCTATTTGTCATTACATCATTTTAGCTTTAAACAAAATATAAAACTTTTATAACTTTGCCATTGTAGTATGAGTATCAATTAACCTCATTTCTTCTTAATACATATTTTTATTCACACTACGAATAACCCAAATTGCAAAAAATATTTTGAAATCATTATAAAAGGGCATTCAATATTCCACAAATTCGATCAGCCTAAAAAGCTTGCATTTCATCCCCAACATTTAAATCCCCCTCTGGGAGGAAAGTTGTAATAAAATCACAACAATAAACTTAAAAGCATTTACAACATTTCAAAGAATATTATTACATTTTAACAACTGAAATACTTATTATTTCTCATATTTACTTGAAGAGTGTCACAACTAAAAATTTAGGTTTTCAGAACTTTTTAAAGTTGCATTTCTATGGTAAAAATTATTTAGGAAATAGTATAGAAATGACTTAAAAACTTGCTAAATAGTTGTGTTTTCCGTATCCCTATCTATTGAGTTAGGACATTTTTGATATAAATACGTGATTTGTTTGTGAGTAGTGAATGATGGTTTTAGTTTACAATTTCAATTAATGATGACATCAAGACGCCAAAGTGTCGAACAAATAGTCAATCTGCTGCCCCTTTAATGGTTAATGGGAAGCACTGTTCCATTTACAACAACTACTTTACTGGGGAGCTCTTTAAAGCGAATGAAAATGTCTAAAGAGAATTAAATGAATGAATTAATGTGCGTGCGTATGTGAAATGTTTGTTAACAACAATGTAAACCACAACACAACATGATAGTAACAACAACAACACCAACAAAAACCAATACAACCAACCCTTGTTTGTGGATTATAAAAACAGGATATAAAAATCGTTGGGGATTTTTTATCAACATACACACACGCCTTCCTCACACTCTCCTATTTGTATACAAATATCGACCAAACATTGTCAATTAAAATGAAAAAATAAGTGGGGATTTAAGTTTTTGTTGTTGTTGGATTTTGAAAATAAATACAAAAAGTATGAGGGGTGGTACTGAATTCTGTGGATAGATAGATAGATAGATAGATAAGATAGATAGATAGATAGAGGTATAGATAGATAGATAGATCGTGATAGAAGATAGATAGATAGCTAGATCGATAGATAGATGATCGTATAGATAGTAGAAGGATAGCTATAGAAGATCAGATAGATCGATAGATCGCTCGCTAGCTAGCTCATAGTAGCTAGATCGATAGATCGATCGCTCTCGCTCGCTCGCTCGCTCGCTCGCTCGCTCCCCGCTCGCTCGCTCGCTCGCTCGCTCGCTCGCTCGCTCGCTCGCTAGCTCGCTCGCTCGCTCGCTCCGCTCGCTCGCTCGCTCAGCTCGCTCGCTCGCTCGCTCGCTCGCCCGCTCGCTGATCGCTCGCTCGCTCGCTCGCTCGCTCGCTCGCTCGCTCGCTCGCTCGCTCTCTCGCTCGCTCGCTCGCTAGCTCGCTCGCTCGCTCGCTCGCTCGCTCGCTCGCTCGCTCCTCGCTCGCTCGCTCTCTCGCTCGCTCGCTCTCGCTCGCTCGCTCGCTCCTGCTCGCTCTCGCTCGCTCGCTCGCTCGCTGGCTGCTCGCTCGCTCGCTCGCTCGCTCGCTCGCTCGCTCGCTCGCTCGCTCGCTCGCTCGCTCGCTCGCTCGCTCGCTCGCTCGCGCTCGCTCGCTCGCTCGGTCCTCGCCCGCTCGCTCGCTCGCTCGCTCGCTCGCTCGCTCGCTCGCTCGCCCGCTCGCTCGCTCGCTCGCTCGCTCGCTCGCTCGCTCGCTCGCTCGCTCGCTCGCTCGCTCGCTATCGCTCGCTCGCTCGCTCCTCGCTCGTCGCTCGCTCCTCGCTCGCTCGCTCGCTCGCTCGCTCGCTCGCTCCTCGCTCGCTCGCTGCTCGCTCGCTCGCTCGCTCGCTCGCTCGCTCGCTCGCTCGCTCGCTCGCTCGCTCGCTCGCTCGCTCGCTCGCTCGCTCGCCCTCGCTCGCTCGCTCGCCCGCTCGCTCTCGCTCGCTCGCTCGCTCGCTCGCTCGCTCGCTCTCGCTCGCTCGCTCGCTCGCTCGCTCTCTCGCTCGCTCGCTCGCTCGCTCGCTCGCTCCCCTCCCTCGCTCCCCTCCTCGCTCCCCTCCGCCTCCCCTCCCCCCCCTTCCCGTTTCCCTCCCCCCCTGGCCCTTGGCCCCCCCTTCCTGTCCTTCTTTTTTCTCTGCCTTTCCCTCTCCTGCTTGTTCTCCTCTTGCTTGTCCCCCTACGTACATATAGAATTTGTCAATACTTACAGATTTGATTTAACCGGCAAAAACATGATGATGCTTTTTTATTCGTTTCTTTTGATCCTAGTTTGCTCTGCGTGGGTTAGTTCAATAATACAAAAAATCCTTGTTAGTAACACATTTAAATGCTGGTGGTTGCTTTCTATTACTTTCTTCCAATCAGTCTTTAAGATATAAACGAAACCAAAAGCTATAATGACATAATAAAAGAAAATCATTTTAAAAATTTAATTACAAAAAACGTTTTTACGATATTTTATTTTATAGCATAAAAATTAAATTAATATTCATTGAGGGTAGTTGCGTTAGCATTTTGCAAAAATATTAAAAAAAGTGAAAAATTAAAACAAATATTTTATCTTAATCGTGTAGTTCTAAAAGGCAATTATTATGTTAAATTATTTTCACGCCCTTTCCCCTTGTAGAGTTGACACCATCCCCGGCCACAACATTATTAACCTTGTGCCGTTTATTACTTTGTGTGCAAAAACATCTAACGCTGTGTGTTTGAACATTAATTTCAAAACGTTTTGAAACTTAAACTCAACACGCCACAATTCAAGTACAATCTTACACGCAATATTAATTTGAAGCATTTTTCTATTCTTCTATTTGGTTTTTATACGTAAAATAGAGAACTTTTTAAGTTTTCTTCAAGTGTATTTGTAAAATTCATTGTGTGTAGGTGACCAACCAACTGAATCAATCAAGTGTTTTTTTTTTCAAAAATTTTATATTTTACTTTTTTCCGCTTGATAAATGATGACAACATAATATTGTCATATAAAAAGTATTTCTGCGTCCATACACGTCCATCTACAATGTATTTTCTAAATAAAAAACATGCAACATTTTTTATGTGTAATCAAGTCAACCCTGAAGTTAGTTAAAAATGTTGTATTTTCTTTTCGGTTGGTTAAAGGACACGACACGCATTTTTAACCATAAGGACATGTTACTACTAACTGTTTCGAAGATTATTAAGATAAGCTTGTTACTAATCGGACTGAAATTGAAACAATAGAGAGTAAGGAAGGTGTGAAAGGGGAAAATTAATTTTTTTAATATGGAAAATTACCTGTTTGGGAATCGTTCGTAAGACGAATTTCTTGTCATTTCTACTGGTTAAATGTGCGATTATAGAATAGTTTAGTATATAGTTTAGCCTAAAGTCTAGTCTAAATTCAAGTCTATAGTCTAGTCTATAGTTTTGTTTATAGTATAATCTATAATCTAGATTATAGTCTAGTCTAAAGTCAAGTCTATAGTCTAGTCTATAGTCTAGTCTATAGTCTAGTCTATAGTCTAGTATATAGTCTAGTCTATAGTCTAGTCTATAGTCTAGTCTATAGTCTAGTCTATAGTCTAGTCTATAGTCTAGTCTATAGTCTAGTCTATAGTCTAGTCTATAGTCTAGTCTATAGTCTAGTCTATAGTCTAGTCTATAGTCTAGTCTATAGTCTAGTCTATAGTCTAGTCTATAGTCTAGTCTATAGTCTAGTCCATAGTCTAGTCTATAGTCTAGTCTATAGTCTAGTCTATAGACTAGTCTAGTCTATAGTCTAGTCTATAGTCTAGTCTATAGTCTAGTCTAAAGTCAAGTCTATAGTCTAGTCTATAGTCTAGTCTATAGTCTAGTCTATAGTCTAGTCTATAGTCTAGTCTATAGCCTAGTCTATAGCCTAGTCTATAGTCTAGTCTTATAGTCTAGTCTATAGTCTAGTCTATAGTCTAGTCTATAGTCTAGTCTATAGTCTAGTCTATAGTCTAGTCTATAGTCTAGTCTATAGTCTAGCCTATAGTCTAGTCTATAGTCCAGTCTATAGTCTAGTCTATAGTCTAGTCTATAGTCTAGTCTATAGTCTAGTCTATAGTCTAGTCTATAGTCTAGTCTATAGTCTAGTCTATAGTCTAGTCTATAGTCTAGTCTATAGTCTAGTCTATAGTCTAGTCTATAGTCTAGTCTATAGTCTAGTCTATAGTCTAGTCTTAGTCCAGTCTATAGTCTAGTCTATAGTCTAGTCTATAGTCTAGTCTATAGTCTAGTCTATAGTCTAGTCTATAGTCTAGTCTATAGTCTAGTCTATAGTCTAGTCTATAGTCCTAGTCTATAGTCTAGTCTATAGTCGTCTATAGTCTAGTCTATAGTCTAGTCTATAGTCTAGTTAGTCTATAGTCTAGTCTATAGTCTAGTCTATAGTCTGTCTATAGTCTAGTCTATAGTCTAGTCTATAGTCTAGTCTATAGTCTAGTCTATAGTCTAGTCATAGTCTAGTCTATAGTCTAGTCTATAGTCTAGTCTATAGTCTAGTCTATAGTCTAGTCTAGTCTATATGTCTAGTCTATAGTCTAGTCTATAGTCTAGTCTATAGTCTAGTCTATATCTAGTCTATAGTCCTAGTCCTATAGTCTAGTCTATAGTCTAGTCTATAGTCTAGTCTATAGTCTAGTCTATAGTCTAGTCTATAGTCTAGTCTATAGTCTAGTCTATAGTCTAGTCTATAGTCTAGTCTATAGTCTAGTCTAGGCCTATATTCTAGTCTATAGTCTAGTCTATGTCTAGTCTATAGTCTAGTCTATAGTCTAGTCTATAGTCTAGTCTATAGTCTAGTCCTATAGTCTAGTCTATAGTCCTAGTCTATAGTCTAGTCTATAGTCTAGTCTATAGGTCTAGTCTATAGTCTAGTCTATAGTCTAGTCTATTAGTCTATAGTCTAGTCGATAATGTAGTCATAGTCTAGTCTAGGTCTAGTCCTACAGTCTAGTCTATAGTCTAGTCTATAATGTAGTCTATAGTCTAGTCTATAGTGTAGTCTATAGTCTAGTCTATTGTATATTCTATAGTCTAGTCTATAGTCTAGTCTATAGTCGATTCTATAGTAGAGTCTATAGTTTAGTGTATAGTGTAGTCCATTTCCTATTCTATAGTCTAGTCTATAGTTTAGTCTATAGTCTAGTCTATAGTCTAGTCTATAGTCTAGTCTATAGTCTAGTCTATAGTCTAGTCTATAGTCTAGTCCTATAATGTAGTCTATAGTCTAGTCCTATAGTCTTGTCTATAGTCTAGTCTATAGTCTAGTCCTACAGTCTATTCTATATCGGGTCTATAATGTAGTCTATAGTGTAGTCTATAGTCTAGTCTATAGTGTAGTCTATAGTCTAGTCTATAGTGTAGTCTATAGTCGAGTCTATTGTCTATTCTATAGTCTAGTCTATAGTCTATTCTATAGTGTAGTCTATAGTCCTAGTCTATAGTCTAGTCTATAGTCTAGTCTATAGTCTAGTCTATAGTCTAGTCTATAGTCGATTCTATAGTATAGTCTATAGTTTAGTCTATAGTGTAGTCTATTGTCTATTCTATAGTCCTAGTCTATAGTTTAGTCTATAGTCTAGTCTATGTTTAGTCTATAGTCTAGTCTATAGTCTAGTCTAAGAGTCTAGTCTATAGTCTAGTCTATAGTCTAGTCTAATAGTCTAGTCTATAGTCTAGTCTATAGTCTAGTCTATAGTCTAGTCTATAGTCTAGTCTATAGTCTAGTCTATAGTCTAGTCTATAGTCTAGTCCTATAGTCCTAGTCTATAGTCTAGTCTATAGTCTAGTCTATAGTCTAGTCTAGTCTAGTCTAGCTAGTCTATAGTCTAGTCTATAGTCTAGTCTATAGTCTAGTCTATAGCTAGTCTTAGTTAGTCTATAGTCTAGTCTATAGTCTAGTCTATAGTCTAGTCTATAGTCGAGTCTATAGTCTAGTCTATAGTCTAGTCTATATCTAGTCTATAGTCTAGTCCTATAGTCTAGTCTATAGTCTAGTCTATAGTCTAGTCTATAGTCTAGTCTATAGTCTAGTCTATAGTCTAGTCTATAGTCTGGTCTATAGTTTGGTCTATATCTGTCTATAGTTTAGGTCTATAGTCTGGTCTGTAGTTTAGTCTGTATCCTAGTCTATAGTGTAGTCTATATTCTAGGTCTTTACTTAGTTTTTGCTGGGTAGTTTTATTAACAAAAACTAATTATTATTTGGTTCTTATATTACAAACATGCTTAAGCATTTAAGTAAAAATCATTATTTCTAAATATCCTTTTCCTAAGTGGCATTGTTAGGCTTCCGTCCTGTTAATAACGAATACTTGGTGGGTGTTAACGAAGTAGGTAACCTTAATTTACTTAGCAAATTAAAAAAATCCTACATTAAGGATTTTCAAGGCATTTTGCTTTGTATTGTACCTAATATGTATGTGTATTTTGTTAAACATTAACTGCATATAAAAATTTACTCATATTACATTTTTAAACTAAAACAATATTATTTTTGTTCATTTTACAGATTAAATTTCAACACGACAAAGAGACATCAACGTTACTGTTTTGTATTTACAATCAAATAAAGGATATTGACTCTTTTTGGTGGCCATTGTAAAAACACTTTAGGTTATTAGCAATAAAAATATTTGTTTATTATGTTTAATCAATTTTAATAAAAACATCAGTTAAAAAATACTATATCCTTGTTTTATTAGTTTAAACGAACTAAATCTAGACCCTAAACTCTATTTGGGTACATTCACAGCTTTCGTTTGACCCTAATTTCATTTAAATCATGCAAATACTTTTGAATTAATAGCAATTTAAAGAAACTAAGAAGAAATTCAACAATTTAAAAAAATCTGGCAACTCTGGTAAAATAATTTTTCCCAAAGCAAGTAGCTGATATAAATTTCTTTCAAAAGACTCTAATTGCATTTAAATCGTTTGTGTACTTTTGAAGTTATTGCAATTTAATTAAATCTTAAAGTATGTAGTAAATATCACAAGTATGGCAACACTGGCGAAATAGTTTTTCCTAAAACAAGTAGCTAATTTAAACACCTTTCAATAGACTCTAATTTCATTAAAATCGTTCGGGCACTTTTGGAGTAATTGCAAATTAAATAAAACTTATAGAAAGCAACTAGTTTCATAAATATGGCAACACTGTTAAAATTAGTTTTAATAGAACATATAGCCTACACTCACACCTTTCCAATGACTCTAATTTCCTTTAAGATAATTCAAATACGTTTGAATAGCAACAAACTTAAAGAAACTTAACATTAGATACAAATTTACAATAGTCTGGCAACGCTGGTAAATACATTTTTCATACAACAAATAGCTTGATTTATAACCTAAAGATTGACACTAGTTTTACTTAATTCGCGGCAGTATTTACGAAGTTATAGCAATTTTAAAAATCCCTTGATTGGTATTTTTTTCAAAACTTGGCAACCCTGTCACTACATTGTTACAAACGCCATCTATTGGTTGGGTACATAGTTTTTTAGCAAAGCGAAAAATTAGGTGCTACAGAGGCTCATTTTCAAAGTGTATTAACTCAGGAACTACTGAACCGATTTCAATAAATTATATAAGGATCTATAGGGGTCATATTGTAGATTTGAAAAACTTATTTTTCCAGAGTTGCCACCTATTTGTTTTTATTATAGACTAAGGGAAATCAAAGATGACTTTAAATGCCTTTATTGTTTAGGTTTCTTAACTAAAATGTTTAAATGTTGTATTTTTGAAAAGCTGACATTTGGGTCTCTACAAAAATTAGTTTGCCAGAGTTGCCAAGTGATTTGAATTAAAAATAAATGTATTTTAAAGTTGGTTGAAATTCACAGTATGTTCCTTTACTAATATTTTGCAGTAAATAAGAGATAATTTTCAAATGCCAAAATCTATGTGTTGATTTAATTTTAAATTTGTTTTGGATTATTGTCTATATGGTCGGGAATATTTGCTTTCAAAAACACTATTTTATCGATTTTAGTCTAAAAACATAAAATATATAGCTATCAAAAGTAATTACTACATTTTCGTACTCTAGTATAAAAGTGAACATATGGTAACTCTGGAAAATCAAATTTTTAAATCTGCAATTTATCCTCTACCAACCCTTGTACAAATGATCAAAATTGGTTTAGTAGTTTTTGAGTTATAACGTTTTAAAAATGTGTTTATATTTTCGCACTCTAGCATAAAAGTGAGCATATGGTAACTCTGGAAAAACAAATTTTTTAAATCTTCAATTTATACTCTACAAATCCACATACCAATGATCAAAATCGGTTTAGTAGTTTTTGAGTTATAACGTTTTAAAAATTTTCCTCTGCGGTACCATATTTTTCACTTTGCTAAAAAACAGTGTACCCCACCAATAGATGGCGCTGTACCAATGTAGTAATAGGGTTGCCATGTTTTGGTAAAAGTTGCCATTTTAGGGATTTTTAAAATTGCTATAACTTTGAAAATCCTTAAACCGTTTTTCGAAAAACTAATGTCAATCTTTAGCTTATATATTAAGGTGTATGTTCTATGAAAAATTATTTTACAGTGTTGCCAGAAATTTGTTAATTTGCTGTTTTTTGTTAGGTTTTTAAAATTCCTATAACTTTGAAAATACTTAACAGAATTAAGTGAAGCTACTCTCAATCTTTAGCTTGTTTATTAAGCTATTTGATGTATGAAAAATTATTTTACCAGTGTTGCCAGAAAATTGTAAATTTTCCGTTTTTTGTTAGGTTTTTAAAATTGCTATATCTTTGCAAAACTTAAACGAATTAAGTGAAACTAGTGTCAATCTTTAGTTTATATATTAAGCTATTTGTTGTATGAAAAACTATTTTAACCACTGTTGCCAGAAATGTTTACCAGTGTTGCCAGAAATTTGTAATTGCTGTATTTTGTTAAGTTACTTTAATAGCTATAACTTCGAAAATACTCCATCAAATTAAGTGAAACAAAAGTCAAACTTAAGGTAATACATTAAGCTATTTGCTATATGAAAACTTATTTCACCAGTGTTGCCAGAAATTTGGAAAATTGCTGTTTTTGTTAGCTTTTTTTTAATTGCTATAACTTGGAAATACTTAACCGAATTAAGTGAAACTGATATCAATCTTTAGGTTATATATTAGGATCTTTGTTATATGAAAAAATTATTTTACCAGTGTTGCCAGAAATTTGTAAATTGCTGTATTTTGCTAAGTTACTTTAAATTGCTATAACTTTAGAAATACTCAATCGAATTATGTGAAACAAGTAACAATCTTAAGGTAATGCATCTAGCTATTTGTTGCAAGAAAAATGATTTTACCAGTGTTGCCAAATATGTTCAACTTGCTGTATTTTGCAAAGTTACTTTAAATAGCTATAACTTCGAAAACACTTAACCGAATGCGAACAGAATTAAGTGGAACTGGTGTCAATCTTTCGATCATATATAAGGTTTTTGTTTTATGAAGAATTATTTTACCAGTGTTGCCAGAAATTTGTTAATTAGTTATATTTGGTTAGATTTTTTTTTAAATTACTATAACTGTGAAAATTCTTAACTGAATTAGTGAAACTGAAGTCAGTCTTTAGGTTATATATTAAGCTATTTGTTGTATGAAAAACTTTTTTGCCAGTGTTGCCAGAAATTTGTAAATTTGATGTTTTTGTTAGGTTTTTAAAATTGCAATAACTTTGAAACAACTGTCAATCTTAAGGTAATACATCAGCTATTTGTTGCATTAAAAATTATTTTACCAGTGCTGCCAAAACATTTGCTGAAACTAATGCTTTAAAAGGAATATAACTTTAAGTTTAAACAAGTTACAATTATTAAATATCTAACACACAATTTTATAACTTTTTGATTGAATTTACTATAAAGAAATCAACCCCTAAGGAGAAATAAAATCAATACATATAAAATATTATGAAATAGACTGAGTATGAAGTATAAACAAATATAGAAAATTGATTTATTGCTTTGGCCTTAGCTGACGATGATAAATAAAATATTTAACACAAAATATTAAACATAAATTAAATACAAAAAATTTTCTATTAAAGCCCGAAATAAAATGGTTTTGTTTGGCTTTGTATATAGACAAAATTGTGCTAATTTTAAACCCAGTTTTATTTTGTATTGTGTATGAGCATGACACAAAACAACAACAACAACAAATAACAAAAGTTCTATTTAATTTAATTCCATTTTCAAACAATAGCAATAACAAACAGTTGTACTTAGTTTTTAAACTCTGTTGTTGTTGGCATTTGTTAAACCAAAAGTCACGTTTGTAATCTGATGAATACTACTTATTTATTCTGCAAATGCAACAGATATTTACTATTTAGATACAAGAAGACAAAGTCTCAGGTACATTTTGTATTTAGCAGTAATTTTGACTTACTAGTATGGGGTTTCATTTATTACTACATACGGTGGTAGTCTTTGTTTTTGTAGAACATTAAATGGAGTAGAATCTAAAACTAAAATATTTAATACAATTTAAAAAGGTGTCGTGTGTGTGTCTGTCTTTACGTTTTTTTTTAATTTTTTCATTTATTTTCTTTAATTTACTACTATTTACCCATTTTTTTACACTCCATTCGTAATGGCCTGGTCTATTTGCATGCATTAGTTTACAGTTGAGAAGTACAATTGCTAGTATTTATATTTACATTTACAGTAATGGTTGAAATAAAAGAAATATTTCGGAAATTTTGAAACAGTACTAATTTTTGCAAAAAAGTACATACTAAAGACTAGGCAATAAACTAGTCTATGAACTATTCTATTGACTAGTCTGTTGATCTTTAACTGGTGTATTGATCTATTGGCTACTCTTTGGACTAGTCTGTTGATCTTTTAACTGGTCTATTGACTATTAACCAATATATTGATTACTCTATGGACTAGTTCATTGACTAGTCCATTTAGAGTTAAATTAGGTTAGGACTTTGGACTAAGGTACTAACTACTCTTTGTACTATGCTGTTAACTGCTCTTTGGACTAGTATATTGACTACCTTTTCAACGAATCTATTAACTACTCTTTGTACTAGGTTATTTACTAGTATATGGACTAGTCTATTGACTACTCTTTGGACTAGGTTATTAACTACACTTTGGAATAATCTATTGATTACTTTAAGGACTAGTCGATTACTCTTTGGACTAGTCTACTGGCTACTCTTTGGCAAGTCTATTATTGACTACTCTTTGGACTGGCCTATTAACTGCTCATGTGACTAGTATATTGACTGCTATTTACACTAGACGGTTGTCTACTCTTGTACTAATCTATTGACTACTTTTTAGACTAGTCTATTGACTACTCTTTGTACTAGTCTATTGACTACGCTTTGGTCTATTATATTGTCTAGTCTATTGACTAGTCTTTGAACTAGATTTTCATTAACTACTCTTTCGACTGGCTCTTTCGACTAGTCTATTGGTTACTTTTTGACAAGTCAATAGACTACTCTTTGGACTAGTCTATTTGCTGCTCTTTTGACTAGTCTATTGACTGCTCTTTGGACTAGTCTTTTGGCTACTCTTTGGACTAGACTTTTGGCTACTCTTTGAACTAGTCTATTGGGTACTC